TTTTTTTACAAGGTATTTTGAAAATAAAGTGTGTATATGTATGTGTGAATGTTTCCTTTTCTAATTTGAGCAGCAGCATGTAGTGCTCCATGACACCTGGCCAAAGCTACCTCATACCAAGTAGTTTTCTAAGCCTCCTACAAATTATCTTCACTGTTAACTTGCCACAGTATTTGGAAAGCTCATTTCTGATTTCTCAAACACTAATACAGAACCTTAGGCACCTTCTCATCACCCTATACTAATTCTTCAATGAAGCGTCACAGAAAATGTATGGGCTATGATGTCAGATCTGGGTATTAATGCCAGATGTACCATTTGCTAATTGTGACACTTTAGATAGGCAAAGTTATTTAATCATTTTGTGACTCTCCTCATCTATACAAAGGGATAAAAACATCTGTCGTATGTGGTGGCTGTGACTCAAAATGAGACAATGCATAAAAACTATCTACTAATTGGGAAAAGCTGTTAATATTCCATTCCTCCGAAACATTTGCTCATGGAAAGAAAAAGAATTTCTCACTATTCAAAAATTCCTTCCAGTATATTAAGGCCTAGTGTTTTTTATTATCAGATAATAATTATGCAAATACGAGGCAACAATCTTTTTCAAAGCTCTCCTTAATATTGGACTTGAAACAAAATTTCAGGGACAAGCAATAATAAAAATCATCTTTGCAATTATGAAGAATTTGAAAGTTCTATATAAGGCACTTTGACAGCTTCTCATGAAATAATGTTTCATGAATTAAAGGGTTAAGTTAAAAAAAAAACCAGAAACCTTGATTACTAAAGCAATGGTATGAGGCAAAACATGGTAAAAATATAAACAGTAACAGCTCTTGCTATTTCACCTAAAACCCACAGTAATAATTTACCTATCTCCAATTAAACAGATATACTAAAATAAAATTTTAATGAGGAATCTAAATAAATTAACTAGTCAGCAAAAAAAAAAAAAAAAAAAAAAAAAAAAAAAAAAAAAAAAAATACCAATCTGTTTAATGAACAAGTAAATAAAATCACAGCATTTTAGAGCCAAAAGAAACTTTAAAGATTATCTGGATAGGAGCGCCTGGGTGGCTCAGTTAGATAAGTGTCTGACTTCAGCTCAGGTCATGATATTGCCATTCACGGGTTCAAGCCCTGTGTCAGGCTCTCTGCTGTCAGCATGGAGCCTGCTTTGGATCCTCTGTCCCCCTCCCTATATGTCCCTCCCCTGCTCGATCTCTCTCTCAAAAATAAACAACATTAATAAAAAAGAAAAAAGATTATCTGGTTACACTTCTCTACCACAGGATTTGAAAGCTCTGGAGTCATCAGAAGTTTGCATTAATGGGAGCTTGTGCAGGCCTATTCTGCTTAAGCATAGGAAGACTAGATTGTTAACTGTCAGAGTGCACTTTTTGGCCTCTGTACTCTGCTGCACAATACATTCACAGGACAGACTACTCAGAAATGAAAGAATGCACATAATCTTTAATCCTTTATCAGCTCTATGTCATGCCTTAGCTTGAACTTCCCAGTGAAACTTCTACAAATGTATATGGTTTAGTCAGCTGAATTTTTAAATTTGAAAGTATACTTTCAAAAACCCCATGTAGTTTATGAAATACAAAGCTGACATATAGTTTTAAAGCTGTATCTGTGAAACTGAGGGTCCATAATTCTAAAGGAGTTGAAGGTTTTTTTAACATCTTGAGTCCAGTCTGGGGATGATTCATATAAATCCTTCATTTAAGTTAGAATTTAGATTAATTCTAAATTTAAGAGAACATGGCAAGGGAAACAATAAACATTTCCTTCTAGGCAACCAGTCCAGTTCAAGTGGTTCTCAAAAATGGTCTTCAGACCAAAGGCATCAGCATTACCAGGGACCTTGCTAGAAATGCAAATTCTTGGGACCCACATTTGAGCTACAAAAGCAGAAATTCTGGGGATGGAGGCCATTAATCAGTGTTTTAACAAGCCCTCCCCATGATTCTGATACATATTAAAGTTTAAGAACTACTGGGTTTAGTTAATCAGGGTAGGGAGCAAAGTAGATATTCAGGGACGAAAGAATCTAGATATAAAGAGTATAAATTTCTCTGGAGTATACTTTGAGGTCTATGTCTTCAAAATCTGAGTGTGATAAATTCTAACAGTACACATGTCTACATAACTACATAATCTATACAACCATGTAATGCAAGAATATTACATTTAGTATGCATAATACAGAATATGCAATATACAAAACTACACATTCACATTGATCTTAATTTTTATCATAGAGAAAAGTAATAACAATATTCATGATTCACATTTATAAAAGTTTTACTGTATATTTGTTCATAAATCACTCTCATTTGCTGAATGGACTTTGATGATCACTAATCGTATGAGGAAATCACACTAGGAATTATTGTCCCCATTTTATAAATAAGGAAATTGAAGCTTAAATAGGGTGAGTGATTTTTCTAAGGTATACCTGGCTAACAAGTAGCTGGAGTTGAAATGCAAGTTGAAATGTGCTGAGGTCATAATCAGGATCTTCCCCTGTATCACGAAGTACCATACTTTTAATTATCATGTGGGGTTTTTTCCAATTTTTATCGTGGTAAAATACATATAAAAATTGATTATGTGTTTAAAAAAACCATAAAAGGAGAAAAAGAATAAATGCTTAAATAAATGAATAAAATATACAAAGATACTTTTACTCTAAACTACAAAAATCCACAGACATGTTGATTAATCTTTTTCATAGACCTTGTTTTTTTTTTTTTAGAGAGAGCACATGTGCAAGAAGAGCAAAGGGAGAGGGAGAGAATCTTAAGCAGGCTCCATGCTCAGCACAGAGCCCAATGTGGGGCCTGAACTCACAGTCCACCATGAATCATGACCTGAGTCGAAATCAGGAGTCAGACACTTGACCAACTGAGCCACCCGGGTGCCCCTCACAGACCTCTTTTGGTCTTTGAATTTAGCAGGTGGCCTGCACATAACTTTTTTAGGGTAAGGTACAAATCTTTGTGTACCTTCCTATTTCTCACTATGTAAGTCTCAAGAAAATAAGCCTTTAAATAACAAAATATGCAATCCTAAAATGAATACAGCAAAGATAATAACAAATGGGGCTGATAAGTGCAATAAGAACAAGAACAGATAAATAAATGCTTAGAAAATACATGAGGGGCGCCTGGGTGGCGCAGTCGGTTAAGCGTCTGACTTCAGCCAGGTCACAATCTCGCGGTCCGTGAGTTCGAGCCCCGCGTCGGGCTCTGGGCTGATGGCTCAGAGCCTGGAGCCTGTTTCCGATTCTGTGTCTCCCTCTCTCTGCCCCTCCCCCGTTCATGCTCTGTCTCTCTCTGTCCCAAAAATAAATAAACGTTGAAAAAAAAATTAAAAAAAAAAAAAAAAAAGAAAATACATGAAATGTTACTGAGAAGCAGAGATAAATGTCAGACTATTTCTACAACAGATGAGCCTAGAGATTCTCTCCCTTTGTCATTTCAATGGTTAAAAGTACTCTTTAAAAATCTATTCCTGGCTTCTGAAAATATGCTCTAGCAGGAAATTCACTTGGCAACTAGCTGACTCAGCAGAGCTAATCCATCTAATCTTAAAACTCAGTAAACATGCACACATCCCTTTCCACTAGTTCTTAAAGTTCCCTCTACCAAAACAACCTGCATTAGGATGTGAAAACTTCTTATACTGCTCTAAAAAGGTTACAGAGATGATTAAAGTGATTATTAAACCCAGTCTAGAAGTGATTTTATATTATGGCCCAGTGTGGATTCTGCATTAGAAATAATGCCCAACAAAAAGCCACTGTCCACTGTTATACTGTATGTCAATTATATCTCAATTATAAAAAAGCCATTCTCTTTTTAGCATTTATGAATAGAAGGTAAATTAGTATTCAGAGCTATACAGAACACACGCCCTCTAGGAACTAACATTCTTTCACTCAAAATTTGAAAACAGTCTGGGCCAGCAAAACCTTTACACTAGTACTAGGGCTACTTCAATCTCATCTTAATTTTATTACAATTTTCTGACAACTTTTTCCTTAAAAAAGGCATGACAAGTATGAAAACAAATGTGACACTATGCATTTCTAGTTGTCCATCATTAAGGGACTTACTATGTAAAATGAAGGTACATCATCCCAAAAGTACTATACCACACTCAGTATTGATATGAAATGATTTTCAACATTAAGTGCAAAATAAAACAGGTGCAGAACAGCATATATAATATTTATATTCTGTAAAAGAAAGAAGGACACTCCTAAAATATGTAAAATTCCTTGTATATGTGAAAAATCTTTCTAGGAAAACACATAAGAAACTAGTAACACTAATTGTATCTAGGAAAAGAAAGTAGGTAGTTGGAGGGTAAAGGTGTGAGGGAGTGTTTTCACTGTATATTATCTTTGCCTTTTGAATTATGTACCATGTCTGAGTATCATTTATGCAAGAAAGAACCAAAAAAATCTTCCTTTTGATATTCTCTGTGTTGTATTGTTCACTCAATTTTCTAAGCTCATTACTTCTTTCCTGGCATTGTATCAATATAGAATGATATCTTTTTCAAATCAAATCAATACCCACTTAGCAGTGGGTCCCTAAACTGCATGGCTTCTATGTGCCTTTATTTATGACAGCCTTTAAAAAAACATTAAAATGACATTGCCTGCAGATTCCAAAATGGAATATGGAAATAAAGTTGAGATCTCAAAAGTATTTTCGAAATACACCATACGATAAACCTGTAGTTAATATTTTGTCTCAATAAAAAAGGTCATCTTTTAGAGAATTAAAGTTTTGTGTCATCTTCAATAGTCACACTCCTATATGATCATCAAGACCCACTAATTCACTGTGAAAAGCATATTAGGACAGACAGGTATGTTTTATAAATTCAATGAATAAATTTTATGTGCACATTGTTTTTCATGAAGAAAAAAAAAAGTAAAACTGAAACAAATACATCCACATTCCTACCTTCAAAAATCTCTCATTGGTCAATAGTGCAACTTGCTTTTCTGAAGCTTGCTTTTCCACGTGCCTAAAATTTTCACCATCCCGTACACAAAGAGAGAAAATTAAACATTCTAAAGATGTGACTATCACATGGGGGAAAAGAACTACCTAGATTGGTGGCCACATTCTTCTATTTCTTCTCAAAAATAAATTCAAGATAATAGTCATGGTTTAATAGTAATTTCTAACTCCACAAAGCAGCTATACTTCAGAATCTAGGGATCTAATCATAAACAAAAGCCATAAACTCCAGAATCAGAAAATGTTCTTTATAAAAGTAACTCTGGAGAAACTGCAAATTATATCCCTTTGTAAAAATATTTTTCGTTATGGTATGTTTTCAAATCCAACAAAGAAATCTCACGAGTGAAAACAGAAAGGTTTTACTGTGCTCTATATAAAATGGTTATTTTTTTCTTTCCCCACTTCAAAAATAGCTAGATCTGAGATACTTTTTTTTACTCGAAATTCTATTATGTGTTAAATATACACTTCTCTTTTTACCTCCTAAATGATGGAAGACGTCGGATGTTTTCACATTGATTTTCTGATAAGAAATTTATTCTTCTCTTGGCTTCCGAGAGATTACAGCATAGGACACTGAGGGGCTGAGAGTAGAAATGTTCTAATAGAGAAAGCTGAAAGAAATGTGAAGATTATATAATGTCATTCTAATTCCACAGAGTAACTTCATGTCAACAAACCTTTTTGTTGCTTCATAAATAAATCCCTCTGGTATTAGCACTGTAATATAGACCTGGCCAAGATATGTTTAAGATCTAGGTTTCCAAAGCAGTCAAATTAAGTAAACAGTCCCCCCTGCAGATTCTTTTATATAAACAGGTTTCTTATTTATTTTAAAGAGTTTTTGTTTTGTTTTTATTTACTTTTTAATTTATATCCAAGTTAGTTAGCATACAGTGCTATAATGATTTCAGAAGTAGATTCCAATGATTCATCCCCTATATATAACACCCAGTGCTCATCCCAGCAAGTGTCTTCCTTAATGCCCCTTACCCATTTAGCCCATCCCCCCACCCACAACCCCACCAGCAACCCTAGTTTGTTCTCTGCATTTAAGAGTCTCTTATGTTTTGGGGTGCCTGGGTGGCTCCGTCAGTTGAGTGTCCGACTTTGGCTCAGGTCATGATCTCACGGTTTTATAAATTCAATGAATAAATTTTATGTGCACACATTGTTTTCATGAAAGAAAAAAAAGTAAAACTGAAACAAATACATCCACATTCCTACCTTCAAAAATCTCTCTCATTGGTCAATAGTGCAACTTTTGCTTTTTTCTGAAGCTTGCTTTCCGCATTCTTAAAATTTTCACCATCCCGTGCACACAAAAGCATTCTAAGCTGACTATCACGCGGAGAACTACCTAGATTGACCCCACATTCTTCTATTTCTTCTCAAAAATAAATTCAAGATAATAGTCTGCATGGGGCAATAATAATTTCTAACACAAAGCAGCAGCTATGCTTCAGAATCTAGGGATCTAATGTCTGTAACAAGCCATAAACTCCAGAATCAGAAAATGTTCTTTATAAAGTAACTCTGGAGAAACTTTACTATATCCCTTTTGTAAAAATATTTTTAGTTGAATTATGGTATTCCAAATCAACAAAGAAAATCTCCGCAGTGAAAACAGAAAGGTTTGCATTGCTCTATAAAATGGTTATTTTTTTCTTTCCCACTTCAAAAATAGCTAGATCTGAGATACTTTTTTTTTACTTTTCGAAATTCTATTATGTGTTAAATATACACTTCTCTTTTTTACCTCCTGATGGAAGGCGTCGGATGTTTTCACATTGATTTTCTGATAAATTGTCTTCTCTTGGCCTTCCAGTTACAGCATATAGGACACTGAGGGGCTGAGAGTAGAAATGTTCTAATAAACTGAAAAAAATGTAGAAGAATTATATAATGTCATTCTAATTACAGAGTAACTTCATGTCAACAAACCTTTTGTTGCTTCATAAATAAACCCTCCTGGTATTAGCACTGTCAATATGGAGCCTATGGCCAGATATGTGTGTTTAAAAGATCTAGGTTTTCCAAAAAAGCAGTCAAATTAAAAAGTAAACAGTCCCCCCTGCAGATTCTTTTATATAAACAGGTTTCTTATTTATTTTAAAGAGTTTTTGTTTTGTTTTTATTTACTTTTTAATTTATATCCAAGTTAGTTAGCATACAGTGTAATTTCAAGGAAGATTCCAATAGATTCATCCCCCCATATAACACCCCAGTGCTCATCCCAGCAAGTGTCTTCCTTAATGCTACCACCCATTTTAGCCCATCCCCCCCACCCACAACCCCACCAACAACCTAGTTTGTTCTCTGCATTTAAGAGTCTCTTATGTTTGGGGTGCCTGGTGTCAGATCAATTGAGTGTCCGACTTTGGCTCAGGTCAATCTCCACCGGTTTGTGAGTTCGAGCCCAGCGATCATGCTGACAGCTCAGAGCCTGAGCCTGCTGTTCCGGATTCTGTGTCCCCTCTCTCTGCCCCCTCCCC